AGACAACAGGCAAGATAGATAACATGGGGCAAGAAAAGTGTTAGGGGCAAGATAGATGACAGAACGCTAAATACAAAAATACTTGACAGGGGGCAAGGTAAATCACAGGGGGCAAGGTAAATCACAGGGGGCAACGTACTTGACAGGGAGCAAGATACATGACAGGAGGGGGGGCATGAAACAGGAAGATTCAAATATACTTGATAGGGTCAAGATATCTGCGGATATACGAGTGGATCACAAATACTGTTTCTCAAGTGATGATTTGAACCCTAGACGGCGCTTTTCTTCGAGATCCAAAAACATGTGGCATTCTTATACCGAAAGGCTTGTTTAAAAACTCTTTAAAATGCAATGCTAAGACATAGACCTTCACGAGAATAAAAGCTAATCTCAAATAGAACCTTGAACAAAAACAAAGCAAACAACGAAACACAACAATGTTGATGGCAACAGCACTAGAAACAGAGTTGTTACGGTTCAAAATTTTGTATCGTAATCAAAAACATTTCTGTGGTCTTATCGTAAACTTTAATAACTAAAAAATTTCTATTTAACTATTTCTCAAGTTACATCCATTAAAAGATCAATTTTTTCCCCTCTTGAGAAGTATTCATCATTTGATTTTCACGTATTTCAGATTGTTTAAAATATATCGTATACGTCTGTAACATTTGCTCTCTTGGAGAAGTGAAATTGATTCTTTAGTAGGAGACAACCAGCACACATCAAAGCTTTAATTAGTAAACAAAGATGTGGACTTTAACACAAGGCCAGAGGTAACCGGGCGGGGGGCCGGGGGTTGAAGGCCTTGTATTTATCGCAGACCTTGATGACATACATTAAAGTTCGTCTATAGAATATTTATTCTAAGAAATTCCCATCAAAGGAACAGAAAATAGTTGAGAATTATTTAGGATTAGAATAGATTTACAACCATTTATTTGTAATAGGTCTTGAAGAGAGGTCATATACGTCAACAGCGTTTGTAAGTAACTTTGTAACTTTCTTTTTTTAAGCATTGTTTAATTTATTTATTTTATTTGAAGGTCAGTCGACGTCATAGCGGCATAATTGAATTGACGCCTTGAGAAGCCTCGCTATTCCGTTAACACCCACCAAGGAATTAACAAATTAAAGGATTAATCAATCGTTTAAGGTTATCTGCCCATTCACGAATACGACTTGGCTAACTCAATGGAAAATCAAAAGGGGATACTGTTTTAACGACTGTAAGTAACGAAATGTGACGGAAAGTGGAGTGCACATCTCCGAAGATCCCCGAAACATTATCACTCTCATCACACACAACCCCGACCCCTTTCTCCTCACTCTCCCCGCAAACTCGTCTTACAAATCTGAATTGATAATGATCTTGAAACAAGGAGGTTTAGTATAACTATAAACTAGACTTTAGCCCTCCTCTCTCCCCCCTCCCACTTCCCCCCACCCTCCCCACCCCCCCCACAAACGCCACTACACAAATCTGCATGTGGCGATAACATAAAAGCTGAGCGAAGCACGGGACGGAAGGTTGTTTAAAAATGTAAACTAGTTTCGCGATTCACTCACTGGGATGAGCTGCTAACGACCACTGGAGTCCCATCTCATCAATTTGGACTCAACCTTGCATGTGATTAGTACCTTTTTTTTTTTTTTTTTTTTTTGTGCTACAGCCTTCGCTTTGCTGGCTAAAACCCGAGATATTAACCGGTTAAGAAGTAGAAGATCAAAGGAGTGTAATAGTTGTTGCGAACGTGGTTAGCCGATATATCATTATGTAGAATCCTATAAAACTTTTGAGCACACACATCTGTAACTCAATACCAGAGAGAGCTAGGGAAGAAAAACAACAACAAACAACTGTATAGATATATAGAAATATACTAGCCTTAGTACCTTTTTTTTTTTTTGTGTTACAGCCTTCGCTTTGCTGGCTAAAACCCGAGATATTAACCGGTTAAGAAGTAGAAGATCAAAGGAGTGTAATAGTTGTTGCGAACGTGGTTAGCCGATATATCATTTTGTAGAATCCTATAAAACTTTTGAGCACACACATCTGTAACTCAATACCAGAGAGAGCTAGGGAAGAAAAACAACAACAAACAACTGTATAGATATATAGAAATATACTAGCCAATATACCCGGCGTTTCCGGGCATAGCATTCGGGAAAAAAATAAATTACTGCAGCCTTACAGGTAACCTTTAAATTAAGGATCATGTACCCCCGCCCCCACCCCTAACCCCCCCCCCCAAAAAAAAAAAACAACACGTAGCTAAAGTAAAATTTAAAAAAAAAAATCAAATTTCAATTGTCTCCTCTAAAAATCATATTCATATTAACTTTTGTAAACATTCCGTTTTCCGGTGGCACCGTGTTCCCGGTTTGATCCCATATCTCGATTGGATCCCGTCCCTAGGGGGAGTTCGTTCCCAGTTGGATCCATTCCCCAGTGAGATCCAGTTCCTTTGGGGGGACATCGTTCACGGCGAGTCCCATTTCTGTTGGGATCAATTCCCGTTTGCGATCCCGTTGCTAGTTGAGATCACGTTTTCCCCAGTTGGATCACGTTCCTCGCTAGAATCTTTAAAACGTTCTTCTTTGCTTCTTGCCCAAACATAACTGTCTCCATTTGATAGCAGGCAGGTAACATGAGAGATTCTGATATCGTGTGTGGCTATCATTTTAATGCTACCAACTCAGCAAGATTTTCGACGCATATTTAGCTTTTTTTTTTTTTAAACTTACTTTCATTGGTTTTTCTTCATTTGTCTTCTTTATTTAACTTGCGCTTCGAAAGCGTGTCACAGTATTCTATATTTATTAATGAAAAGGTTTTATGTTCAGTTGAAAAACGACACTTTAATTTAGCAGGCACCATCGGCAGAGGCGTAGCTAGAGTGTTTGACGCCCGGGGACAAGATTCATTTTAAAGCGCCCCTTTTTCTTTTTTCAACTCTCAAACGCATCGTTTTCATCAATAAAATAATATCAAAGCACATTTTGGCGCCCCTAACTAGTTTGGCGCCCAGGTATATCTGTTCCCCTCCACCCCCCCCCCCCCCCCCCCCCCCCCCGTAGATACGCCTCTGCACCATTGCGCCTTGCAGTTTCTTTCCGCTTATAACGCAGAAATGAGTCGGTCACTCTACATTTCCGTTATAGGTGAATCCGAATTTTAAGTAGTATTCGTCGTACAAGCGATACAAATTACGAGTCCCCCTTCCCTAATTTGTATCTCCTCTGCATCATTGCTAGCAGTAGCCTCGCCATCCTTGCTAGCAGTAGCCTCACCATGATTGCTAGCAGTAGCCTTGTCATCATTGCTAGCAGTAGCCGTGTCATCATTGCTAGCAGTAGCCTTGTCATCATTGCTAGCAGTAGCCTTGTCATCATTGCTAGCAGTAGCCTTGTCATCATTGCTAGCAGTAGCCTCACCATGATTGCTAGCAGTAGCTTTGTCATCATTGCTAGCAGTAGCCTCGCCATGATTGCTAGCAGTAGCCTTGTCATCATTGCTAGAAGTAGCCTTGTCATCATTGTTAGCAGTAGCCATGTCAACATTGCTAGCAGTAGCCGTGTCAACATTGATAGCAGTAGCCGTATAAACATTGCTAGCATTAGCCGTGTCAACATTGCTAGCAGTAGCCGTGTCAACATTGCTAGCAGTAGCCGTGTCAACATTGCTAGCAGTAGCCGTGTCAACATTGCTAGCAGTAGCCGTGTCATCATTGCTAGCAGTAGCCGTATCAACATTGTTAGCAGCAGCCGTGTCAACTTTGCTGGCACCAGACTTGTCATCACTGATTTTAAAGACGAGATTTTTTACTAATGTTTAAATTTATCCATTACATTTATTTAATCTTGTGTCAGTCAATTCGACATCACATCCACGTGAATTTATTTATTTAAAACAAATCCAGTGGATGCGATTACTGTAAACCAGCGAAATAAGCCACACTGCCTGCTCAGAATTCGAATGTGACCTGCACACGTACACCGTGGTGCGAATGGACAAAAAATGTTCAATTGTCATTCGTATTTACTGATTACAAACCCATACAAAGAGGATTTTTACAATAAATGGATTTTTCTTTTACAACACTATATAATTGTTTATTTGATTTGTTCGCGGAGCACCAGTATGAAGCTCGGATTGAGAACCACTGTGCTAGAGCGACCACCTACGGTGCGAGCCGTAAACACCGTTCCGCGCTGGTCCTGTGTGACGCGACCATAACTTTTAAAAGGATCAGTGATAAGCCACGTACTTATCTTATTATCTTAAGCCGGCGGAGAGTGCGATATAGGCACGAAATATAATGAATCAGCCAGATGATCTGGAAAACATGTCGAGTTAGTGTATGAAGAGCAATGAGATATGAATGAATTTACAACAAAAACGAATAATAAATATAAAAAAATAGTAATTAATTTTATAATGCAAAAAAAAATTATCCTGATTTGACATTAATTAAAATTAGTCTTTTTTAATTTTGCGCTTACGATTGCTAAAATAACTCTTCACTTTATTGGAGCCCAACATTAGAAATCGGGAGAAAGAAATAACAACATTTTTAATTAAACCAAATTGAGTTAAACAGAAATAATTTTTGTTTAATTCAAAAAAAAAGAAAGAAAATTAATTTGTTTAAATAAATAAATAAAGAAAGAATACACATTTTTTTCCCAAAAATTATATTTAAAAATACGTAGCTATTTGCAAAAAAAATAATTAAAAAAATGTTGAAATGCTTGAAATGTATATAGTATTTTAATTTTTCTTTAATGTCTAATAGAAGGAAGATGATCTTTACATAACCTGGTCAAAATTATTATTTTTTTTTTTTAATATATTTTTTATTGAAAAGTGTTTTTGTCATGATTAAAAGCAATCTGTGCTCTATAAAAGTTATATAACTAATGAGCGACAAAAATATGTATACACCCGTACGGCTTTAGTGGACAAAACTTACATCCTAATGCTTTCATTTCAGGCCTAACACATATGAGCTGATAGTGACGGACTCCAGTACGGCCTACCCCGTGGGCACGCACCTCCTGGCCGACCTCGACAACCAGACCGCGGTGGATCACGTCTGCGGCTCCCTGACGCCGTCCGAGGAGTGCGGGCCCTGGCAGTCTTGCTGCAGGAGCGCCGATCTGTGCTGCGAGCACCAGAAGGCGGACGGGCCCAGGCCCCAAACGGTAAGAACATGGGGGCCGCAAGCCTACAAGTAAATGTCCACTCTGGGTTGTTTTTTGTTTTTTTTTTCAACCGACGGGGTGTTCTTGAAATGTGTTGTCAAGGAAGTCAAGCACATGCATGGTGTTTAATTGAAATGTGTTGTCAAGGAAGTCAAGCACAACCATGGTGTTTAATTGAAATGTGTTGTCAAGGAAGTCAAGCACAACCATGGTGTTTAATTGAAATGTGTTGTCAAGGAAGTCAAGCACAACCATGGTGTTTAATTGAAATGTGTTGTCAAGGAATTCACGCAAGACAAAGTGTGTTAATTGAACCTGTTGTCAGGGAATACAAGCACAAGCGTGTCGAACCTTTCGTTGCAATCAACTCGCTTAAAGATCAAAGAGAAATGGTGTACCTGGAAGGGGGGGGGCGGTGAAGGGGAAACATCCCCGGGGCTTCACTTTTAAAAAATGTTAACTCATAACATTAAATCTAAAAATGAGTATGAATTAGGGGTGTAATTTTGTAAGATGGACCCCAGGTGGCAATTGAGTCCAGACGCGTCACAGACAAAAAAACACAGTTCTGCATCCCCCAGAGAGGTTAATTAATTTTTTTTTTTTTTTTTTTTTAAAAGGACAGGAAGTTTCAAATTGGAAAACGCTTCACTCCCGGGAATGCAAGACATGTAAGGAAAAAAAAAAGTCTCGCCATATATATATAGAAACAATAATTAGACTGTGCATTGGGAGAGTCAAACCATCGAAGAAACGAGACATATGTCTGAACCAACTCTCCTGAGAATCTGTTTTTAAGCACCGGAAATGGACTCTCCTCTTGTTTCTATTAACTTTAAGTTGAGAGATCTGGGGGGCTTTGTCTTTACATAAGCATGTCAATGGGGCAGCGACCTCCTGTTTCGTATTTTAATAAATATATATATCGAATTGCAGCATGGGCGGCGTCTTAATAGTTCATCCGGGACTTTGCCAAAAATCAATGAATTCAAAATCGGATGATAATCGTAAATGGCTGAATCTGAAATTAGTTTTTATCCCGAGTGTCTCCCGGAAATGCTGAAAGATGAAATTACAGATCAATAAATTATGCAGCCGTCTTCATGTCATTAGTTAATGTATCCTTAGTTTCCACATTCAAAATCTCTTCCCCCCCCCCTTTTTTTTTTTTACAGTGAATGGAACTATTAATGGAACAGCTTATTACCATGGTTGATGCAATTTTTTGGGGCGGCCCCTAGGTTTAGTGGCTTTTGGATTTTTGAGATTTAGACCGGTCCAGGCCACTTTGGGGGACGGCTTTTTTTTTTTTTTTTTTGGGGGGGGGGGGGGGTTTATCGACACAGTGACCTGGTCTCTCCATGTCAGCATAATCTTTAAGCGCGGCGCACACGCGGTGCCACAGAAGAAGAAGAAGAAGAAAAAAACGTTGTGGTGCCGCACTACTCGAGACAAGTGGTTCTTAAAGTGGGTTTAACCAATCTCCCAACCTCGGGGTACAGCGTGATCGCTTGGTGTCGCGCAAATTGGTCGATACTTTTAAGAGGCCATAAGTATGGAGGAGATGCCCGGATTAAACTTTTGTGAATGTTGGTTAACCCAGTTAAATTAAAAAAAAAACAACAACAAAACAACTTAAAATTAGATGAATGATTTTTTTTAATCAGCGGTTATCAACCTGTTGGTAGCGACGCCTTTTTTGGGGGGGTAGAACGACCCTTACACAGGGGTCCCCTAAAACCATTGGAAAACGCATATTTGTGAAGTAGCAACGAAAATAAATTTATGGTTGAGGGTCACCACAACATGAGGGACAGTATTAAGGGATCGCGGCATTAGGAAGGTTGAGAACCACTGTTTTATATAAATGTAAAAAAAAATGTAAAAAAAAAAATAAAAAAAAAAAAAAAAAAAAATGAAATGCTTTTAAGAACTCTTTGAGTTTTGTTAAGATAGGATAGACATGATTACCCCATACCTTGCCTTGACGCCAAATTCCGTGATGAAGTATAAGGCAGCATATTACACTCAGTTAAATGAGCGATGGGCTCGCCAGTGGAGAAAGGCCCGCGTATAATTGAGAACCAGACGGTGGCCGCTCCATCAGTTATCCAACGCCGCGCTCCTGAGAGAAAGATATCAACGGAATACGTCGGTTTAAGCAGCGTCATGCCGAGGGTAACGAATGCCGGCCGTCGGGGAAATAGCAGTGGTCATTGCACGTGGGATAACGAGGTCGGCGCGCTCACCGCACGTGAAATAGACACGTCATTGGTGAAATTGAATCGGTCGCATCTTTATCTTTCCGTGACAGAAACGACAGAAAGAAAAAAAAAAAAGAGGATTTCAAGTTATTGTATTAGTGGGAAAAAAAAAAGTAGGTTTTTATTTACTTTTTTTTTTTTTTTCTTTTTNCCTTGGGACCGTTTGGGGCGCCACAGATGACTTGAAAACTACCCTTCTCCATTCCTCTTTGTTTTCCGCACTTCGCATGCATAGCATCGCCTAGTTTTTGTCCCCGTCCACTCTTTGATGTTATCTTCCCATCTTTTTCTCTGTCTTCCTCTTCTTCTCTCCCCCCCCCCCTCTCGTTGTGCCCATCATGATTTCTTTGGTGAGCCCTTGTTTTCTTGTCACGTGGCCCTACCATTCCCGTTTTCAACTTTGTTTACACTTTAAATAGGACTAACAAATAACAGGAGAATGCCATCCTGATGAATGGTTCAGGTGAGACCAAAGGATTCGTTAGAAGATCGGGTCGGTGCACCATTTGAATTATATTGATAGGCGTCCGTAAAGAGATCTGTACTTTTTTCTTTTTTTCTTTTCTTTTCTTGCCCAGGACATTTTGGCATTCTACGTCAGTTTTTAAACATGAGATTATTCTTCATTGTCTTGTTCTGTCGATAGCTGTCTCTCCATCACATTCTTTTTCACTCTCTTTCTCCTCCCTCTTCTCTCTCTATGCACTTTCTCTCTTTCTCTCTCTCTTTCTCTCTCTCTCTCGCTCTGCCCACTCTCTCTCTCTTCCCTTCTCTTTTTCTCACTCCCCCATTCTCTCTCTCCCCATTCTCTCTCTCCACTCTCTTTCTCTTTTCCTCTCTCTGTTTCTCTCCCTCTCTCTCTCGCTCTCCGCCTTTCTCTCTCCCCTCTCCTTTTCTCTCTCGCATTCTCTCTTGCTCACTCCCCTCTCTCTCTTTCTCTCTCTTTTTCTCTCTCTTTTTCTCTCTCTCCCCCCTCTTTCTCTCTCTCTCTTTCTCGCTCCCCCTCTCTCTCTTTCTTTCTCTCTCTCTCCCCCTCTCTCTTTTTCTCTCTCTCCCACTCTTTCTCTCTCTCTTTCTCGCTCCCCTCTCTCTCTTTCTTTCTCTCTCTCTCTTTCTCTCCCTCTCTCCCTGTCACCCCCTCTCTCCCCTCACTCTCTCTCCTCTCTCTCCACAAACAAACTGACCCTCTTCCCACAAAGACGTGCACACTTTACCGACTCTCTACTTCGCTCTTTCTTTCAGTCTCCGACCTCCCACCCCACTCTCTCTCTTCTCTCTATTTTCTTTATCTCTCGCCTCTCTCTCTCTCGCTCTGTCTCTTCTGTGTTCTTCTCTCTCTCTTTTCTTTCCCACTCTTCTCTCTCTGTCTCTGCTCTCTTCTCTCCTCCCTTCTCTGCTGTCTTCTCACGCTCAAAGGAGTGCAAAATACCCCATCTTTTCTCAAACACATACTAACTGCCCTTAAGTTCTCCCTTGCTCGCCCTCCTCTCTCTCTCCGTGTCATATTACATCACTCTCCAACTTGCTCTGTCTTTGTCATTCTCACTGCCTGGTCTACCTCGTTTTTTCTCTCCCTGTTTCTCTCTCTCTCTCAACGAGGCCGTTGTACTACAAATACTTGTTGCGTAGGCGTTATCTTCTATAATGATTGTACACCCACTTTTTTTGGTATGTTTTCCCCTTTCCAAGTTGCTGTTGTCCCTACCCCCCTCCGTCCCTCACACCCCCCACGGGTTGCGTCACCCGGTGGTCGGTGTTGTCTTGGTATTTGAGTCACGGACGGTGGAGACGCGGAGATTGTCACGGCTGATCGTTTTAGGTTGGCTTCTTGGAGAAATCGTGTGTCCCGTGTGGGACCCCGGGGGTGCTGGTTTTATGGGGTCGGACACAACGTTCAAACAGTTGATGGCTTAATGATCCAATAAGTTTGACTTGAGTTAACTCCTTTACTGTCTGTGAGAATGGATTATTAGAGCGTGTTCCCCCCTCTCTCTCTCTCTCTCTCTTTCTCTCTCTCTTCCTCTATCTCTCTCTCTTCCTCCCTCTCTCTCTCTTCCTCTCTCTTTTCCTCTCTCTCTTCCTCTCTCTCTCTCTTTCTCTCTCTTCCCCCCTCTCTCTCTCTTCCTCTCTCTCTCTCTTTCTCTCTCTCTCTCTTTCTCTCTCTCTTTCTCTCTCTTCCTCTATCTCTCTCTCTTCCTCTCTCTCTCTTCCTCTCTCTCTCTCTCTCTCTTTCTCTCTCTCTTCCTCCATCTCTCTCTTCCCCCCTCTCTCTCTCTCTCTTCCTCTATCTCTCTCTCCCTCTAACTCTCTCTCTTCTCTCTCTCTCTCTCTCTCTCTCTCTCTTTCTCTCTCTCTCTCTCTCTCTCTCTCTTTCTCTCTCTTCCTCTCTCTCTCTCTCTCCCTCTCTCTCTCTCCCTCTCTCTCTCTCTCTCTCTTTCTCTCTCTCTTCCTCCATCTCTCTCTTCCCCCCTCTCTCTCTCTCTCTTCCTCTATCTCTCTCTCCCTCTAACTCTCTCTCTTCCTCTCTCTCTCACCCTCCCAATCTCTCTCTCTCTCTCTTTAAGTCAACAGTTCTTATTTTCAAACAGTTGCAACCAATGTCTTTGAACACAATTACACGTTTAAATCAAACGCACTAAAAGGTCTATATGTCTATTGGGGCTATTAAACCAAAATGTGACCATGTAGATTTCAGACACAAGCCATCACAATTTCGTAACACTTTGTGCATCAGATTTTTAAAGGCAGACTTTTGTCGTTTGTGTTAACGTTTCACCACTCTTCGATTAGACTATCGTGTGAAATTTTCTATTTTAAAAAAAAAAAATGTGGGGAGTGTGGGTGGAGAGGGACGAGGGTATCCATGTATCACGGTTAGGTAGGGAGACCAATTGTTAAAATGGAAAAAAACACTACCGTTAACTGCTGCAACAACGTCTGGCCATTTCCTCTTTAAATTTCATTTTGTCTCATGAAACACGTTCTGCCTATATGCCAATTCGCCAACACCCCCACGCCCCACGCCCCAAACCACCCAAGATATTACTTCCGGGTGCGGCTGTTCATTGCAATTCTTTGTCTGCAGACACAACCATTGTAATCTTGATGGAAGCAGACACAGCCATAGTAACGTTATAGAAGCAGACAGAATTCTCGTAATATAGAAGCAGAAAGAACCATTGTAATCTAGACGTAGACAGAACCATTGCACCAACCATTGCAATCCAGAAGTAGACAGAACCATTGTAATCTAGAAGCAGACAGAACCATTATAATCTAGAAGCGGACAGAACCATTGTAATCTAGAAGCAGGTAGAACCATTGTAATCTAGAAGCAGACAGAACTATTGTAATCTAGAAGCAAGCAGAACCATTGTAATCTAGAAGCAGACATAACCATTGTAATCTAGAAGCAGAAAGAACCATTGTAGTCTAGAAGCAGACAGAACTATTGTAATCTAGAAGCAGACAGAACTATTGTAATCTAGAAGAGGGCAGAACCATTGTAACCAAGAAGCAGACAGAACCATTGTAACCAAGAAGCAGACAGAACCATTATAATCTAGAAGCGGACAGAACCATTGTAATCTAGAAGCAGGTAGAACCATTGTAATCTAGAAGCAGACAGAACTATTGTAATCTAGAAGCAAGCAGAACCATTGTAATCTAGAAGCAGACAGAACCATTGTAATCTAGAAGCAGAAAGAACCATTGTAGTCTAGAAGCAGACAGAACTATTGTAATCTAGAAGCAGACAGAACTATTGTAATCTAGAAGCAGGCAGAACTATTGTAATCTAGAAGCAGAAAAAACCATTGTAATCTAGAAGCAGACAGAACCAGTGTAACCTAGAAGCAGACAGAATCATTGTAATCTAGAAGCAGACAGAACCATTGTAACCAAGAAGCAGACAGAACCATTGTAACCAAGAAGCAGACAGAACCATTGTAACCTAGAAGCAGACAGAACCATTGTAATCTAGAAGCAGACAGATCCATTGTAACCAAGAAGCAGACAGAACCATTGCAATCTAGAAGCAGAGCAATAGCTGTGCACTTTTGTCCGACAACTGCTGTTTTTGTTTTTTGCTTTGGGGGTGGAGGGAGCCCGGGGGGGGGAGGAGGGGGTGGGGGCTATTTTGGGCAGTCGCATGACACGGTTTCAAGAAGGCTTATGAGAAATGTCTTCGACCGCTCAACGTGATGGCCTTGATATGATGATACCTTTGGGTCGCTCTGAGCACAACCCCCCCCCCCCCCCTCTTTCCTGATTTTTGTTTCACGTGTAGAGCCTGGGGATGACAGGTGGATAAAATTAAAATCTGTTTACTGAAATCGTAGCCCCCCGTTGTCCCTGAGTTCTTCAAAGACCCAATTTTTTCGAAAGACAATAGTATGTTAAATTATTTTTTTTATTTTATTTTATTTTTTTTTTTTGTTGTAATCTCCAAAATATTTTTGCATGGAGTCGAAGCTTTATGCGAGAGTGGAGTCATTGAATCACTGTCAGGCACGGACCAAATCATCTTCTCCTTTTGTAATTTTAATAATTTTTTTTTCGACCACATGAAATATGAATTGTCTAGACTTATCGCAAGCGTGGCACTTATTGTTGTTCTGTACAATTACTTTATGAAGACAACGGCATATTTGTGGCACTTAGTGTTGTTCTGTACAATTACTTTATGAAGACAACGGCATATTTGCCGGGGTTAATGGCCCGGACATTAGCGCACTGGTCGGAGTCGAATTAGTAAAAAAAAAAAAATTAATTTTCTTGAAGAGATTGGTATAGACTATTCTGAAATTGGCTCACACGACATTATACTCTATTTGGAGGAAGAATCTGAAATAATTTTCTGATCGTTTCTACATGGATGACTTTATTTAAATTAATTGGGTAGGCACAGCTGTTTTCAAATTTTGATTTATTTCTTCTTTTACACCTTTACGAAAAAAAAGTCAAAACTAATTTTTTTTGTCAAATACACACCATTGAAACCATTTGATTATTGTAGGCTGTTTTGACAAGTTGTTTAGTTCAGCGTCCCCCCAAATGGTGATCTGTGGACCGCCACCGGCCCGCGAGCCTTACGTTGCCGGTCCGCACAACATGAATAATTTTGGTCAAATAAAGATATAATTTATACATCTTCCACCGGTGCCTGGTGCAATTTCGAAACGTGTCAACTGGTTCTCCAAATTTGAAGTTTTGGGAAAAGCTGTTTAAGATTGCATTAGGTGTATGATCATATAGAAAAAATTGCACCCATTAATGTAAGAATAAGGGAAATTAAAACTAGCAGAATTAATTTTTTCCGCATCGAATTTTATTCCTGTAAAAAAATATCTTGCCCCCACCCATGTAAACATTAAATTTATGACAACGCCTGATTTAGGGACTCAAGAGCCGAAAAATTGCCCAACCACCACTTTTGACCAATACGTTGACAGACACCTGAAAAATAAATACAGCCCTTAAGGTCCATCATTTTAAAATGTCGCAAGAGAATTAGATATTTCAAAAGATAGATTAAGAGACGAAACGAAGAAACACAACGGTTCATAACATTTCAACCCGTAGATTTTTGTTTTGTTTTTGATGTTTAAAACGGAAGAGGATGGCATTACTGTGCAGTGTGGTTCCGAGGTGCTGAAAAAAAATATGTCACTTGGGGGACCACATTCCGTTAGCAGGCTCTGTACCGCACAAGCTGTGCTTGTTGAGCGATTCCATACCCTTCAACAGAAAGGATTCAGCAAAGGCCTTGTAATCTGTTTACTGTGCCGAATATCAAACGACGCAGTCATATGAGTTTCTATGTAAACATGCAACAAAAGATCGACTTTATGAAGTATTTAAGCATGAAGCCGCTAAACGCTATGATACTTGTCATCTTCGTAAAGCCAAAGTTTTACAATACAAGCCAATTTTCTGGGTTTTTTTTAACATGTGGGTTTGGGAGAAAAAAAAAGGGGGGCGGGAACTGGGTGGTGTTCATCACAAACACTGGTCACTTACGAAACGACAGTGCGTTGTCATCGAAACTCGCCCCACAGAGAAGGAAAAAAAGGGGGGGGGGACGGGGTCATGGGGGGTGCGGGGAGAAAAAGGGGTGGGGTATAGTGAAGCTGATGGTCAGCTTCTAGGGTTCCAGCGAGCAGGAGGAACTATCGAGTCCAAGGACGGGGCACATGTGACAAAACCAGCACTGCGCTGTAGGCGATTTTTTGAATAAATAAAAAGGGAATTTTGAAACCCTACGTTTTATGGGGTGAGGTGGTATACTCGTGTCTCACCCTAAACACTGTGAAGACTTGGTGTTTGTGAATGGGTTCAGACTACAATACAGATAAAATAACACGAGGGAACCAACGTGAAATAGAAATAATAGTTGTTGTTTTTTAAACCTGGAGAGCTCTCACTTTCTCTCTTTTAATATTATCTCTTTACGGTTTCTCTCTCCCTCCCTCTCTCCCTCCCTCTCCCTCTCTCTCCCTCTCCCTCTCTCTATCTATCTATCTATCTATCTATCTATCTATCTATCTATCTATCTATCTATCTATCTATCTATCTATCTATCTATCTATCTATCTATCTATCTATCTATCTATCTATCTATCTATCTATCTATCTNTCTGTCTGTCTGTCTGTCTGTCTGTCTGTCTGTCTGTCTGTCTGTCTGTCTGTCTGTCTGTCTGTCTGTCTGTCTGTCTGTCTGTCTGTCTGTCTGTCTGTCTGTCTGTCTGTCTGTCTGTCTGTCTGTCTGTCTGTCTGTCTGTCTGTCTGTCTGTCTGTCTGTCTGTCTGTCTGTCTGTCTGTCTGTCTGTCTGTCTGTCTGTCTGTCTGTCTGTCTGTCTGTCTGTCTGTCTGTCTGTCTGTCTGTCTGTCTGTCTGTCTGTCTGTCTGTCTGTCTGTCTGTCTGTCTGTCTGTCTGTCTGTCTGTCTGTCTGTCTGTCTGTCTGTCTGTCCGTCCGTCCGTCCGTCCGTCCGTCCGTCCGTCCGTCCGCCCGCCCGCCCGCCCGCCCGCCCGCCCGCCCGCCCGCCCGCCCGCCCGCCCGTCCGTCCGTCCGTCCGTCCGTCCGTCCGTCCGTCCGTCCGTCCGTCCGTCCGTCCGTCCGTCCGTCTGTCTGTCTGTCTGTCTGTCTGTCTGTCTGTCTGTCTGTCTGTCTGTCTGTCTGTCTCTTTCTCTGCACAGCCTACCATCTCTACTGTCATTCTTGTATACGTTAAATGTCATCTCCGTCTGTCTGATTTCCTCTCACTCTTTCCATCTGGCCTCTCTCCCTCTTCCTCTCTCACTTCGACTCACTTTATTTCCCTCCTTCGTTCTTCCTCTGTTCAAGAAATGAAGCCCCTATTGTTTAATTGTTCAGTTTTCTTTCGACCTGTCGAACCAATGCTCTACACCGTGCCCTATAATCACAGTGCCCATTAGCGTTTTGTGGAAAATTACTGAATGAAATAAACGATCCACGTGCCTTTTAGGGAAATTAAAACAACTATAATTGGATGCCAGCCAAAGGACAACAAAGAACACACACACAAAAGTTCTCAAAAGAATACATGCCGCAACGCGTTTTAACGGACGGAGCACGGCAAGTGTTGCCAAAGTGGTGTGTCCCAAAAAATCTATGAAACAAAAAAAAAAAAAAAAAAAAAAAAAATAAAAAAAAAAAAAAAAAAAAAAAAAAAAAAAAAAAAAAAATGTTTTTGGGGGGGTATTAAGCATTCAAAGTACAGGGTGACCAAAAAGAGGATGTTACAATTTTTGAAGCCATCGCTTCTTCAAATAGTTAACTCCTGTGTCTGGAACTAACGCCATAAAATAATATTTTTAAAAAAGGGAAAAAAAAAACAATAACAAAAAAAGCACTCTTTGGAACAATGTTGGTTTTTCAGAATTGTAAGTCTTGCCCCTTTACATCCACTAACATGAGTAAGGAAGGAGTTGATTTGTATAAATTTTTAATTAGTTTTGTTGTTGTTAGTCTGCATGTTTGTCGACAATTAAAGTTTTTTTGTATAGTTTCAATCTAAACAATTAAATATGCGAAAACGACCGTCATTTTTAAAGGAAATTTAAACTAGAATAATAAAGATGTCCCTGTGTCAGCTTGTTCTAACAGGAAAAGTCGACATTTCTGTTCACTTCTGTTGCCGTAGTGTTTTTTAGTCGATTACTGTAGAGAGAGATTGAGAACTCCCAACCATGCGATATATGAGTTGTTACCTATAATAAAGGGCAGGGCACTCTAATAAATTACCCTGTAAGCCCACGTTTCGCAGCTCTGCGATGGTCTCCCCTGACATCAGCGGCAGTGGAGAATTAAAAATGTATTTTGTTTGATAAAATATCTAAGCGATTAATCCCACCCCCCCCCCCCNCAACAGTTTTGCTTTTGAAATCAAACAACCCCTTAAAACAAAGATTTTGGTATAAATCCTTCACATCCATTTTTTAAATTATGTTTTATATTAATATTCTAAAGTCCCATCTGCTTTTACACAGCAGATTTTTTTCACCAACTATTTCAGAAAAAAACAAAACTGGCGATATTAAAAAAAAAAAGAAAAAAAAAAAGAGAATCTAATTTGGCGCAGTTATCGGGAATTCTATTTTGTGAAATCAGTAGCATATTATTTTCTTCAACTTCTATAGGAAAAAACAGGAAACAAAATTAATTTTTTTTTATTGAGGTTCGGGGTGGGGCTGAAAATTTGAAAGAATGTGTTATCATCAGCATCAAGTCTATATGCCAAGTTTCAGCTTGGTAAGTTGACGGGAGGTGGGTCAATTAGCCGTCCGAAGATTTTGCCAGCCCGCCACGAACAGAGCAAAGTAAATATAAAGAATTTTAAAAAACTTCAATTGGAAATTTTTCAAATATCTGTTTTGTTCCATCAGCTTTCTTCACGCAAGGAAGCCATTTTATAAGTTTCATTGATAAGTTCCATTGCTAATGACTTAGTGTAAAAAAAAAAATACATCAAATTATATTGCACATAGCAATGTTAAGTGTAGATAAGCTATTTTAAAGAAAAAATAATTTTGGATCCTTTTCAACATGAGCACCGGTGTCTATGCCCCCAGCCCCCCCCCCCAACCCTTGTCTTGTTTGTTTTGTTTGTTGGCGTTGAAAACTTACTTTCGGCGGCTCAGCAAAATAAATGCTTACGTCTTTCTGCATACCGCAGACAACACATTCCAATCTTCTTTGTTCTGTCTCGTAACCTTGAGACTAAGATCTATGTTCTTTGTCCTAGTCGGGTTGAGGGGGGGGGGTGGCATTGAATAGACAGTACCATTTAGGAAGGAATAATAATAATAGAACGTTTTCGACTTTAAGGGTTTGAATTTTATCGAGAGCCATTCATGTTTAAGTACAGCCTGCCGGAATTGCGTGCTCGAGAGAAAGATCTGAAAGATTGTCTGTTACGTCCTTGTGTTTGGGACAATGCACCACCAGCTTTAAATGTCAGTTGACTACACTGTTTGGATGACTGGAGTCGGAATTTTTAATACATTCTTCTCCTCGAAAAGAAACCATTAAAAAAATAATGATAAATTTTTTGTCATTGTTTTAGTTTAAGCATATCCTTTGATTTAAAACAAAGTTTAAAAAAAAAAGTTTTACGACACCATAGTGTGAGAACCAATGAGAGTCATACTGTCAGAATCAGTGTGACATATTCGCACCAACAACTGCATAGTCTGAGGCTGTTCTTCTGTCCAGGACCCCCCTCTCCCCCCCCCCGGCCACACACACACACACACACACACACACACACACCAACACGCACACACCAACACACACACTTGTTGTTTTCTTCCAAGTATGACTAATCCTTCTATATTTAATGGAAATGTTGCTTGCATTAAGATATTGCATAAATAAAGGTGTGCAGAATATCACATTTGCAACTTTCCATAGAGTACACGCACAAAATATGACGTACATCTAGCGTCGTTTGATTTGAGAATGTCACATTTTTTAAATGAAGTATCTAACCACGAATTGCAAGAAAATGTCTTTTTTTTTTTTTATTTTAGCCTTCATTACAAAAACTAGATTTAAAAAAAAATATATAATTTTTATTTGCCTATAACAGCTTGGATACCTTTGGGCTAATCCTTGGGTGGGAAAAGGTTTTTTGCTTTGTTTTTTTTTTCCTTAAGGATCATAATCGTGAATATTTGAGGCGCTTTTTGGACAAAGACAAATTGCGCGTTAATTCTTTTTTAAATTTAATTTTTAGGGCAAATGTGGAATCCCCCCTTTGGGAAATGATGCACCGAATGCTTTATATGTTTTGCATTTTTTTCCCGGTTAAGCTTTTTATAATAATAATTCCCGAATGGATCGTGTCCGCCCCGCTCTCAATGCGCATCGTGATGCGCTCTCATACATAAGAAAAATCTCCGCTCATTACTCTTGGGCTCTATACAAAAGTGGCGAGTGGCGGGGCGGTGTGGGCCAGCGGGCCTTAATTTGCCGAAACCCAAAGCCAAAGGTTATGATAATACATTCAATGGGGAGATATAGCCGCCAAAGGGAAGAATAAGACAATGCCCCTGTTTAGCAAATGCAAATGGTATTTTTTTTTGGGGGGGGGGGGGTGGGGGAAGGAAAAAGTGGAAAAAAACTTAAATAACAAAAAAATATGGTATGTTTTTTGGGGGGGGGGGGGTGGTGAACGGAATACTGGGCAAAACACTAAATAACAGAAAAAAATGAGGTCATCGTTATTGTAATGCAGAGTCCCAATGTGGAGCATACACCGCTAAGGATCTCTCTCCGTTTTCCCCATCTGTGTCACCTCAAGTCATTTCCAATCACAGCAGACTTACAAAACAGGTCCCTCCTCAATGAGTTCTTTGACCCTCCACGCTCTCTGGTCGCTCGAGGGTTCCACATGACAGCCTGCCTCGCGATGCTTGAATGCTCTTTCTGACTGACTGAGTGTGTGTGTGTGTGTGTGTGTGCGCGTGTGCTTTTTTTCCTCTTTAGCTCTTAAGTCCAGTTTTTTCTTTATCTCCGTGGAACGACTTGTCCTTTCCATAAAATAACAACATGTTATTCTTGTGTGTGTGTGTATGTGTGTGTGTGTTTTCTTCTTTCATTTACTTTTTCTATCGAAACCTTTCTAAAGTGCATCCCTATACAATCAAATGATGAGACTACCGAAACCTTAAAGTCTTGCTCATTTCCCCGAGTCAATCTCTTAACCTCCTTTAGAGAGCAAAGTACAGCTTCAAAATAACAATGGCGGGACATGCGGATTATGTTAGTAGTGATAGTGCTCACATTGACATAGATATAAGCTGAATGGCTCTGTTAGATAACCGAAGACGTCGCGCGGCCAGGTAAGGCTAGATAAGTGGGAATATAAGGAAAGGGCATCTCCGATCGGTGGAGATTGATGGCAGGTCACGTGCGACAGGTGGTGATCTGTGACACGTCCCCTCACATGCGTAAATATCAATGACAAATCACAGTGGCGTAGGAAAAGGGTGCGAAAGGAGGGGGTAGGGGGTCCGCTCCGGTCGACATATTTTTCTTATGGGGGCTGGGTGACGTTTTCGGCCAACTTTGAAGTGTGTTTTTGTTTTTTTTGGAAGGGGTGGTGAAAAGTTTTGACAGCCTCGGGCTGCACCAAACCTAAAAAAACCCATTGCAGGCCATCTCAAATTATTGGAGATTCAGGTCAACGTATCTTTCTCTATGAATATATGAAGGAAAAGTCAGTCTATTCATCATCGCTATTGACTGGATAATGAAAAAATCTACAGACAAAAAGAAGAAAAGAATACAGTGAAAACTCTGGGAGACACTGAAGGAACTAGACTTTGCAGAAGACATTATACGTCTGTCCCACAACCAGCAAAAAATGCAGGAAAAGACAAAAGACGTAGCCACCATTTCAGCACAGCTTAGACTAAATATAAATAAAAGCAAGACAAAGATCATGAAGGTAAATTCTGCACACCAAGAGACAATCTCTCTGGCAGGAAAGGCACTGGAAGAAGTGGAGTCCTTCACAGCACCATCGACATAAATGGTGGATCCTACGCAAATGTAAGGGCCAGACTTGGAAAAGCCAGAGCAGCGTTTGTACTATAAAAGAAAATATGGGAGTCGAAGCAGCAGAAGCTGCAAACCAAAGTTTAACACAAATGTCAAAACAGTTCTACTATGTGGAGTAGAGACCGACCGAATTTCGGCTTCGGTTTCGGCACAGAAAGTGGCCATTTTATCACTTTCGGGCAAGTTTCGATTTCGGCCGAAACTGAAAGTTAACTTTCGGCTTAATTTCGGTTTCGGCCGAAAGAGAAAAGTTAACTTTCGTTTTTATTTTGGTTTTCGGCCAAAATTGTCTTAGACTTTCGGCCATCCAGCCGAAAGTGACTGAGGTTTCCGTCATCTAATTCTCAGCAAAAGAGATATTTAACAACAAACTAAGTGACATTTAAGAACAAACTAAACGATCTTTAAGAACAAAGAAAGTGATCTTTAAAAACAAATAAAGCGATCTTTAATACAAAAAATTATACAATCTTATAGAACAAACTAAGCGATTTTTAATAACGAACCAAGTGATCTTTAAGAATAAAACAAATGATCTTTAATAGTAAACTAAATGATTTATAAGAATAAACTAAGCGATCTTTAACAGAAAACTAAATGTTCTTCTTCTTCTTCTATATCTTAAGGGCCCACGATCAATTTATTGATCATTTTGGCTCCTATGCATGTAGATGGGATTTGCAATGTTTCTGTTACTGGTGGTGTTGAGGAAATTATGCTCTAGGGGTTTGAAGGCTTGAGGCAATAGACACAAATGTGTCTAGTGTTGTCGCCTCAACTGTTCCTTTTGAAAGATGGTTCCAGTCCCTGATTGTCTTGGGCAGGAATGAGCAGCTCCTATACTGGCTTCTTGCTGGTATGAGCCTGAATTGCCTGTCATGGCCTCGTCGCTGTCTATGGGGGAGAGGGACGAGTTTCTGTTTAATACTGGAACAGTGGACCAGCCCATTATTTATCTTGTACATCATGGAGAGCCTGGATTGTCGTCGTCGTTTCTCCAATGGTGACCAGCCTAGTGTTTCTAGCATGCTGCCAACACTAGAGGTATTCCTGTAGCGGTTTAGGACAAAGCGTGCTGCTCGTCGCTGGACCGCCTCCAACCTGTCAATGCTCTTCTGGGTAAATGGGTCCCAGACTGAAGATGCATAATCTAAAATCGGACGGATAAAGGCTTTATATGCTCTTTCTTTCACACAGGAGTTGCCAATCTTTAGATTTCGCCTTAAGAACCCCAAGGCTTGGTTTGCTTGGTTACATACATTGTTAATATGCTCGTCCCAGCGGACCTCTCTTTGAATGGTAACACCCAGGTACTTTACGGAGGAAACTTGCTCAAGAATATGGCCGTGCAGTTTGTATTGGTAGTGTAGAGGAGTACAACTTCTAGAGATTGATAGTGTCTGGCACTTGGCAGGGTGAAATTCCATGTCCCAGCTCATCTCCCACTCAGCTAACAGATTGAGATCCTGTTGTAGCTGGTCCTGGTCAGATCTGTTGGCGATCGTCCTATACACTGCTGTGTCATCTGCAAACAGTCTTGCCTGTGATGTCAGTTTCTCCGGTAGGTCATTAATGTATGCTAGGAACAAACAGGGGCCCAGGACTGATCCCTGGGGGACCCCTGACTTCACATTGACAAAGGAGGAGCTTGTACCGCCCACCACTACTGCTTGGCGTCGGTGGCTGAGGAAGCTAGAGATCCATGTTTTAGTGGTGCCTTGAATCCCATATATCTGGAGTTTGTGTAGAAGCAAACTATGATTCACCCGGTCAAATGCTTTTGCGAAGTCCATTACTAGCACGTCAGTCTGCTTGTGGTTCTCCAGATTGGTCATCAAGTCTTCTACAAATTCGAGAAGCTGGGTCTCACATGACCTATTGACTCGGAAGCCATGTTGACAGTCATTGAGTATATTTTGGCTTTCAAGATGCTTCATGGCAGAGCTTACGATTATGTGCTCCAACAGTTTGCAGACGACGCTAGTGAGGGATATCGGACGATAGTTGGCAGGGTCGGAATGCTCCCCTTTCTTGTAAATTGGAGTAACATGCACTGTTCTCCAGTCTGCTGGAACATTTCCTGTGCATAGTGACGATTGGAAGAGGATTGTCAGTGCAGGAGCGATTTCTTTGGCTAATTCTGTGAGCACTCGTGGTTTAATGTTGTCAGGACCACATGCTTTGTAAGGGTTAATGGTATTGAGGAGGGCTAATCCACCTTGTTCTGATATCTGGATATCTCCCATGATAGGTTGGGCTCTGTTCATCATTTTGGTCTTCAGAAGGAACTCAGTCTCAGAGTACTCTCTACCGTCACCAAAGACCGACTGGAACTGCTGATTGAGTATCTCCGCCTGTGCTTTTGGGTCAGATGTCAATTGGCCATCCCACCTCAAGGGGGAAACTCCAGCGTTTGAGGACTTTTGGTGTTTCACATAGCTCCAGAAGCGCTTGTTCTTGACATCTTTGGTCGGGGTGTCTTCCTCTGAGAAGATGCCGTTCATGTAGTTCCAATACGATCTACGCAATAAGCGTTGAATGGTTCGGCGGAGTCTCAGTACCTCCTCTCTCAGTTCAATCGAGCCATTTTTCTTCATGCGTTTGTATTGGCGGTCTCTCCTGTGGATGAGCCTACGAATTTCAGCCGTGACCCATGGCTGATTTATCCTAGGTTTGGTGATTTGGTGTTGTATAAATTTCTTCACTGCATCAGTGATTGTAGTCTTAAACTTCACCCACAGCTCGTCTGTTGTCGCTGTACCTTGAATCACCTTCATGTTTGAGCTTAGCTCTGTGGTTGCAATCCTTAGGCCATCCCAGTCTGCCTTGGCATAAATTGGGATTTCTCGAATGATTTGTTTCATTTTTAGTCTGTTGACCTGAAATTCACAATAAGGAATGCTGTGGTTCTTTAGGAACAAACTATAAGATCTTTAAGAACAAAGTAAGTGATCTTAGGGAACAAAATCAATTATAAATCAGAACAAACTAAGCGATCTGTATGAAAAAACTAAGCAATCTTCAACAACAAAATAAGCGATCTTTAAGAACAAACTAAACGATTTTTAATAAAAAAAAAATATCTATACAAACAAACTAAATGATCTTTAAAAACAAACTGAACGATCTTTAACAACAACTAAGCGATATTTTAGAACAAAATCAATGACCTTTAAGAACAAACTTAACAATCTTTATGAGCAAACTAAACGATCTTTTAATAACACAAACTTAGCGATCTTTAAGAAAAAAACTCAGCGATCTTTTTTGAAGAAACAAAATTATTTTTAATAATAAACTAAAATATCTTTTTAAAAAACCAAGTGATCTTTAAGAAAAAACTAAGCGATCTTTAAAAACAAAATAAGCGATCTTAAAAACCAAAATAAACGATTTTTAACAACCAACGAAGCGATCTTTATGAACAAACTAACCGATCATTAAAAACAAATAAAGCGATCATTAAAAAAAAAACTGAACGATCTTTAACAACAAACTAAACGATCTTTAAGAAAAAACTAAGCGATCTTTAACAACAAGATCTTATATTAGATGTTTATTTATTAATAGTCACGATTATCTCATTTGTTTAATAAAAAGAATGTAAATGTTTATACTTTCTCCCATCATTTTCGATGTATGCAGAATATATGCAGGAACGAATTTCAAAATATATAAATATTTCATTTTCAGTTTCGGCTTCTGTTTCGGCTTCGGCCGAAAGTCATTTTTAACTTTCGGTACTTTTTCGGTTTTGGCCGAAAGTCATTTTTAAACTTTCGGTATTTTTTCGGTTTCGGTCGAAAGCCATTTTAAGCTTTCGGCCTATTTTCGGCTTCGGCCGAAATCAGAAAATCACGTTCGGTCAGTCTCTAATATGGAGCAGAAACTTGGAAAACAACGACGAGGATAACGCAGAAAGTACAAACCTTCATAAACATTTGCCTTTGAAAGATCCTGAACATCAAATGGCAAAATACCATTACGAAGAAAGATCTACTAGAAAGGACTCACCAGGTGTCCATCGACGAAGACATGTTTAAGAAAAGATGAAGGTGGATAGGGCATACTCTCCGACCCTGACCCCCCCCCCCAATAGCATCCCCACACAAATTCTAACATGGAATACACGGGGAATAAGAAAGAGGGGAAGGCAAAAGAATACATGGAGACGTGAGCCAGAGGCAGACACGCAAAATATGGGATACACCTGGAAGCAACTGGAAAGGAAAGTACGGGAAAGTGATAAATGGAGAATTCTTGTGGACGGCCTATGCCCCAGACGGGTTGTAAAGGCATAAGAAAAAGAAGAACATAACTGAACACTTTTCCTGCTGCGTGTCAATTCCTAACCCACCAACTGCTTTCTTGGTGACCTCACTTAATCCGTACAATTAATATAGGGATGGTTAATGCAGTTTTAAATAAATGTTTTTGTTGCCAATATGAAGCTGCAAATGCGCTCCTTAGGGCTTAACTCCTGGACCCAGGTTCTGGATGCCTCTGGGTTTGATATGAGATTCAAAACAACCAAGCATCGATCAAACTCAGTTTGACAGGCACAGGAAAATTGGGAATTTAGGAGTTAAGTTGTGACCGCGGTTGTAAGAATAATACATTGCCCCTTATTTCAGTGGAAGCACGAGGTCTTCTTTTAAATTAAACTTGGAGCACATCAAATCCGATCGTAGCAAAATGGGGCAGGTCACCGCAGGTTCATTTAGAGCCGGAATGTACGTCAACGCATTTCAAGTTCCAGAGTTGTTTTTTTTTTTTATATCTCGTTGGGACTCTGCCGCGTCTGTATAAATTCCATTCAACTTTGAACGACCGGGGGAATGTTTGGAAACGGACCAATGACGTCCAATTAGCCTTTACATCAGTTCAGTAAGAAGTAGAACAGGGAGAATTCGGTCGGCGTATTTGGGGAAACTCATTTATCTCTGCCAATAACTCCCAGGTGACGACGAGACTTTACAAAAGTCAAGCTGATTTCAAGAACTGGTATAAACTGAAAATTGAGGCCATACAATTTTGATTGAAACGTATTGGAAAATGGAAATAGAAATTAACCTGTAATAGACAATTAAAAAAAAAATTTAGATTAAAATCGATTGTTGTTACTGTTTGATATCAATTCTAGTTTTAATTATATATTTTTAAAAATAAAATAATAATAGTAATAATCAAATACATGTTTGCCGTCATTTGCCTCAGTCGGAGTTCTGAGGTATCTCCGGCCACGGAAACAAGCTTATTAATGAGTCTGTGGTGTGCATTAGCAACAATTTATTTAACGGCAAAGAAAAAAAAAATACAGTCAAACCGAACAGTTAAGTCTTTAAATTTCAATACAATTTTCCATCCCTCTATTCCCCAGAGCTACGGATCCACACTCTGCCCACGAACCTGGGATGGCTTCGCGTGTTGGTCAGACTCACCGGCTGGTCAAACGTTGTCTATTGAGTGCCCGAGTCACGTGCCTGGCGTCTTCTATGGAAGTAAGTGGACGGTTAAGTTATGCTTTCATAAACCGGAGTGCTCTTACGGGTACTTTAATTGAATTCGCTTGCATAGAGATTTTAGTACTTAATATGTAAAGAAAGTTGCCACCGTCTTTAAACACTGTATTTATATATATATATATACATATATATATATATATTTCTTTATTTGTGTGGTGTGATCAGTATACAACGACTCCGAAAATTCGAAAGTGTTTGAGTAAATCTTTATACAGTACTAAACGTTGAAGTAAGTAATAACATAGAGTAGTATAAAAACAACAACAGCAACAAAAGTATTATAAAGTTGAACAATGAAATGATGCATTTTTTAGACTGCTCAATCAGTTGGACTCCTGTATCATCTGGCTGAAGTGCTTTTCTTTAAACTCAACAGTAATTTTAAAGTCTCAGATGGAAATAAAACACGTTCTGTCATTATTTACCTTGATTTTTTTTAAAGATAAACATTACTGTCCAAGTTAAAAATAATATTTTTAATTACACATGTTTCTCTACAACTCATTGAGACTGCTTTTTGTGTTTTTGGTTTGGTAAATCTCCCATCTTCAACTCTACGAGACAGTTTGTCTGTGTCTGTCTGTGTGTTTTGCTGCTTATTACTGAACTGATGAAAAATAACATTTCAGCCCGCTCAGGTTTAAACAACGCTTCAGCCATGTCAGACATTAATATTTTTCAGACTGAGGGGAAATTAATGTGTGCATGTCAGACAGTAATGTTGGCATGTCCGACAGTAATGTTGGCATGTCAGACAACCATTGCTCATTGGAAAGGCATACACATGAATCTGAGTATGAGACATGACCAACGTTAAAAGTTCAACACTGGTCATTTGCTTTTGCCATTTCGAAACGCAATAAATTTTTCCGCTGACCTTTGACCTCTTTCTCTCTCTCTGTCTCTCTCTCTCTCTCTCTCTCTCTCTCTCTCTGTGTATATATATATATATATATATATATATATATATATATATATATATATATATATATATATATATATATATACCTATCATTCGAACGAAATGTCATTGACTGTCAGACATTATATTAGAATGTTATGATGCTTGAATGAACTTTTATTTTTCTACTCCTTTTTAATCATTTTAATTTTGAATTCTTCATTGAGTCTTTGCATAATATATTTTTAAAATCATTTTTTTTTTTACTTGTACCCAGTGTGGACCCAAAAACTTATGTTACCCACACCGTTGACAGTGATCTTCAGTTTCCGACAAACATTCATATCTTATGTCCCATTTGTTGGTGTTTTTTATATACATAAAGAACTATAATTGAGAATCAAACCTAAAGTAACTACAGAGTGGATTTTTGTCTTGACTGCGATGATGTCAAAGTGATTTTAGGACAATAGAGCGATGCGAGCATGCTAAAATAGCATAGACACAATCGCTATAAAAAGTATTCAATCAATCAACCAATCAAAAGTGTGAGAATACGTCTTATAATGTCTTTACTGACGCAATGATGGTCAAGTACTTGATCCCTAACAATTCATATTGAGCTATACCTACTCATATCGTCTCTTGCCATGATCAGAGCTCTCAACAACCTTCTACTAGATACCTCAACTAATCACCCCATACCCTCAAATATATTGACGAATGGCTCGGGGCGGTCCTGAACGACTGTCGAGCTCTATCCCTTTCGGTCTTGACGCGAAAGCGTTCCCACAAAGTGTTACATGTCGAGAATCGAGATATACGGCTACCTAACGTCTTTCTCCCAAATTTCGAGGCGAAAAAATCCAAGATATTTTAGGTTACATTTCAAAATTGCACGTTTTTGTTTTTAAATTAATGCATAAATAATTATTAATGGATGGGAAAGCTTTAACTATTTTCATAACAAAGTGTTTTTTTTTTTTTTTTAAATCTTTTAAAATCAACAGTACATCATCTTAATGTCTATCCTTGACAGAAACTACTGACTTATTACTAAGACAGACATTAAATTTAATGAGACAGACTCTTTAAATTACCAACATTTTTTTAATGGCGTGTAGCAAACAATGTACGATATAAAAAGGGGGGGGGGAATGCAGGAAAATGACGTCAGTTCTTAGGGTGAAATTGCTACAAGACAATTATAATTATTTAGGTCCAACATCCCTTAGGAAGAGACTCCATTTAGTTGTTTTGTTGAGTGGCAGAGACATTGGCAGGGCACGAAGGGGTTTTCATATAATAATAAGCCGATGGTCTCAACATGTTGTGTTTTAGAATATCGAAGCCTTGAAGTCATTCAAAGAGCAACATTTCTCGCAGGCGCATTGCTTTCCAAAGACAAAAAGAACCATTTCCGTATCGTCATATGTATAATAAAACTCTAATATATAATAATATATACTTAATAATTCTCTAAGCGTTGCATCAAACCATGATTTAATAACACAATGGCAAGACACGTTATTGCACTGCATTACTGAATCACAAAATAGATTTAGGTTTCATTCCTTCTATACGTTTTGGTCAAGAGTATAAGCATAGGCCTAAAAATGAATGAGATAAATAAAGGAATTCAGCAAAGAAAAAACAAACAATTAAAACAAGGAAAAAAAAATTTACAGACACACGTCAGATTTTCAAAGATTTATCTCCACTGGCTTTCCACTTCCATTATGATACTCTATAGAACGTCATTCTTTTATGTTCAGCCAAGGCCAGGCTCTGAATATTTCATCATAAGTTGACGATAATATATTTTCCATGTTCACGGATTTTGAGAGTTTGTGTGTGTGTGGAGGGGAGGGGGTGGGGGGTTGGTGGAGAGGAGGGTCGGGGTTCTATAATTGCTTTCTCTTAAGATTATTTATTGTCAGTAGGGTTTATTGGAAGCTTCAAGATTGCTCGTTCTGTGAGGTGGCTGAAAAGTACATTCCAGTGATATAAGCATCAGCAGAACCAAGGCATGGACATCGTTGAATGGTTTGAAGTGACCCCATACTTGTTTTTCGTGCTGATATAATTCATGTGTAACACTATGTAAATGTTTCGTTCAATAGTAAACACACAAAAAAAATGAAATAAATAAACCCGAGTAATCATCTAACTATGCAATGTTTTAAACTTAGAAATATAATATTATTTACACTTTAAGAAACTTTTAAGCCGCCTTTAACGTAGTCAAAATGAACAATTAACTGTGTAAACACTTTTCATAAAAGTCCCCGTATGCGTCATTACAGATGAGACCGCTGATAAAATATTTCCTAATCTTTTAACTCGATTGTTACAGCTGGAGGGATCTACTCCAAAGATATTAGCCGGTCTGAATTGATATCTTGGGGGGTGGGGGGGTTGGGGTTGATGTTAGAAAGACATGACCAAAGGCGTAGCTAGAGGGTTTGGCGCCCCCGGGGGCAAGATTCATTTTAAAGCCACCCCCTTTCTATTTTCAACTCTTAAACCCATTATTTTCATCAATGAAAGAATGTCAAAGCACCTGGCGCCTAGGGACATCTGTCCCCCCTCCTGCCCCCCTCCCTTAGCTCCGTCTCTGCACGTGAGAGGAAACCCCAGGTAGATACCCTCTCGTTTTTAACATCACGATGTAGTGAGGTCTGTTTACACCTGGAATAAAAGAGGACGCGTGTGAGAGAGAGAGAGAGAGAGCGAGACGTATTCATTTACCTCCCCCAGCCAGTTATTTCGACCGGAAGTCACTGAAGTTTTAGGTCGTGTCCGGGGATTCTCAAAACTCAACGACCTATTGTAAACCATTAATCGAAAATCGTAAAATGATTTTTTTTTTTACACCAACTAATGCGTACGAAAACCTCTTTGCACGATGGAATATAGTTAGAACGGAATTTAGTTCAAACGGAAGATTTTTTTTAAAGACAGGAACTTTGGTTGAGCGGACTACATGTAACCCCCAACCCCCTCTCCCCCCCCCCCCCAAAAAAAACAAAAAAAAAAAACCCACAAACATTACATTTACTTCATGTTCCCCATATTCACCTGCACGTTCTATTTAAAACGAACACATAATAAAACAAGTTCTCCGCCAAAGATATTCAATGCCGATGGAGCATCCAATGGAACAATGTTCCGTTAAAAAAAGCAACAACAAAAAAAAAACAACAACAACGTCCGTTTGAACTAACTTCTGCTCGAACAACAGTTCTTCGTACACAATCGGTTTGATGTGAATTCGTTTCACGTAAATTAGTTTCATACCAATTGGTTTCATATCAATAGGTTTCATATAAATTGGTTTCATTTGAATTGGTTTCGGGCTAACTTCCGGTAACTATTGAAAACGTTAGCAGGAGCCTGAGTCAAGATGTCAGAAAGCTTTGCCCAGCTTCCAAAACACCGTTGTTGGAGGTGCATCAAAGCTAATTTGATTAAATCAAGATCTTTTTAATTTTTTTTTAAATTTTTTTGGTCGGGGTTGTGGGTGGGTGGGGGGGGGGTTGTCTCTCTTTGAATGCATTAGGAGCTTTCTGGATTTTCGGCTGTCATTGACACGTTCTCTAGCCTTGGAGGAAATAAAATTTATTTAAAAAAAACAAAAAAACTGGGTATATCCAGATTTTTTATTTTTTTTTTAATTTTTTTGGGTGGGGGTGGGGGGGGGGGGGGGGGGGGGTTGTCTCTCTTTGAATGCATTAGGAGCTTTCTGGATTTGCGGCTGTCATTGACACGTTCTCTAGCCTTGGAGGAAATAAAATTTATTTAAAAAAAACAAAAAAACTGGGTATATCCCCTTTCAAATCATGTAACGTCTCATTATGCACCAGCCAATCCTTTTTGCGCCAGCGTATGGCACTCGAGCACGGAAACCAGCCATCGAATGCACGGCGACAGGTCATACGAGCAGGAATCCAACAAGCCATTAGCGACGGATCAAGCCTTCGGACAACAAGG